GTGAGCAGTTAGGAGCCAGCAGTCCCAGATTGCGGTTGGACATCCCCCAAGGGGTCCCTGATTGGAGAGGGTGCAGGCTGGGCTGAGGGAACCCCCTCCCCACCTTTGCACAAATCTCATGCACTGGGCCACTATTTGACTATATTCCATATGCTGTAGTTTACATCTCCATGACTTTTGCTTCTCTTTTAGGCTATTTTATTTTACTGTAAATTATTTTTAAATGCATGGGTCTTCTTTTTCTGTCTTTTGGTTTTTGTCATTTCCATTTCTGCCAGTGGGTGGTAGTATGTGACCGTGTAGCTTTCAGTTTTAAAAGAGACATCTAATAAGGATGACTTTGTGTTTCAGGGGTGTGAGGCTCTAGTTGTGAAGAAGCTACAAGAAATCATGATGCATGTTATCTGGGCAGCACTGGCATTTGCAGCTATTCAGGTAAGCACAGCTAGCCAAGCAGTTATGATCAGAGTGTACTGATTCTCTGATGTCAGCCCTGAATGGTTTTACTCACTAAGTGAAAGTGATTGAGATACCAGGCACCAGTTTCCAACATCTTCTATTTCCATTTTTAGATCTAGACCCAGAATGGTTTCAAGAAACCAGAGGTCTGGATGGGGGGACCATTTGTGAGAGGACTCTGCCTTTTTTTCTTAAAAAAAAAAAAAATACACACACACACACACACATACACTAGAGGCCCGGTTTACAAAAAATTTGTGCACTCGGCTGGGGGTGGTCTCTCAGCCCGGCCTGCGCCCATTTGCAGTCCAGGACCCCTTGGGGGATGTCCACCTGTTGACTTAGGCCCACTCCCCGGGGGATCAGGCCTAAGCTTGCAGTCAGACATCCTTCTGGCAGCCAGGGAGTCCTCGGGGGATGTCCGACTAAAGTCTTAAGCCCCCAAGGGATCGGGCCTAAACTGTTAGTTGGACATTCTTAGTGCTGCCCCGGAGGTGGGAGAGGCTCCTGCCACCACCTCCGCACTGGCCAGCCATGAGCCAGCTTCTGGCTGAGTGGCACTACTCCTCGGTCTGACCTAAACCCTAGAGATTAGTACTTCATTTTACAACTTTTTCTCAGTCTGAGCAGCAATCTCAGACCACACAGTCGGGTATGCAAGAAATGTTGCTTTCTTTATTGTTTAGTAACCAAACCTAACTTCAACTTCAGCCCCCATTCTGCCAAGTGAAAAAACAAAAACAAAATATTATTTAACTTAGGTTCCCCACCCCCTTCTCTGGAGTTGTACTTCCATGTCAGACAGTTTATATCTCAGGCAGAGGTGCCAAAGAACCGAGCAGGGTCAAGAACATGTGGACCTCAGTCTTCTGTCTGGACTGGCCCCCACCCAGTGCCCTTGACCCTCACCTGACCCTCACCTCAGAGCTCAAGTCCATGCTGATCCCTGGTATATTCTCCTCATCTGGGCCTTGAGGCCTCTTGAGTCCAATTCACTCTCTCCCTCCCTCCCTGTCACCTTCTCTCTCTCACACAAAGAGCTATTGGGCTTTCTGGGGTGAGGTCCTCTGACACCTCCTCAGCCCC